TCCCTGATGTGGAGACACAGCCACTGTTGTCAACTGGCCTTCCAACCTCTGGCCCATCCACATGGTTATTTGCTGATTTTTCCTAAGTATGGGGACTGCCATTTTTTGGGTCTACTCTGAGTGGCTCCCAAGGTCCTTGAATAGGCTACACTGGGTCAGGAGGCAAAGTTCTCTTCCTAGTGCACCTGAGTTCTTAAGCCCCTTGTCTAATTTCTTATCTGAGTTTCCGGGACTTGGCTTCCTGCTTTGGGTGGCTGGGAAACCTTAAGTTACCCCAGAGAAGGTTCGGCAATGTGAAAGCAGCTTTTCCAGGCATGGAACCCTGAAGGTTCAGCTGTTGCTAGAGACAGACTAGCTAGGCCCTTGGCCCCACCCCCTGCAGAGTTTCTGCCCAGCCCCACAGCTCTGCCCTATCACCCCAGCCTGGCCCATGTGTTTAGCCTCTCAAGAAAGCACCCAAGGAGAGGGCACTAGTGGGGAGAGGATGGTGGAGCCACTCAGAGCCAATACCTTTCAGCTGACTCACCCACTTCTCCTGGCATTTCAGTCCTGGCATCCAGAAAGGGGTAGGGGTAGGGGTCAAGATGCAAGCTCAGGGCTTCCTGACAATGCCCCAAATCTGGACGTAGGGGTAGGGGTCAAGATGCAAGCTCAGGGCTTCCTGACAATGCCCCAAGTGTAGACATGGGAGAGACCTAGGAGGGACCTGCTTCTCAAGGCTGGGCCCTGTGAGGCCTTGGCTTCCAAGCCGGGTGGCTCTAGGGAGAATCATTGGATGTTCTCAGTCTCTGTAAAGCCCAGGCTAGTGGGAATAGAGAGGGAAGGCCCCATGGTGGGTTCAGGACCTCATCTGATCCTTCTCTTTACCCCTTTCTCACACTTCCTTGATGAGGCAGTAATCACGACAGGGGTGGGGGTGTCGTGTAACCCCTGTCTTGCCTGACTGCAGAGCAGAGAAAGGGTTCCATGTGTCACTAAGTGGGAGATGAGGAGGCACTGGGTTTGAGCTGGAGGGGCACAGATCCCACAAACAGGTGATGCTGGAAGAAGCCAGTAGGGGCCAGCACAGGACACTAGGCAGGGATTAATGAAAAGGCACAAGGGTCGTCTTCTGAGGCACTGCTGAATGGGATGCATCGTGGCACCCAAGAGTGTCTTCCCTTCTCTAAGCAGAAAGGCTACCCATATGCTCCCTCTGCTACTCCTGCTGTAATTTTCAAGATGATCCCAATCAAGGCTTTTGGATGAACTGATTGAATGAGACATTATGGGGGTCACTGGACACCAAAGTTCCTCCTCCTCCCTGTGACTCACAGGAGACAGCCAAGTCAGTGCATATTCAGCTGCACAGCTGAGCTGTCCCAGCACCTCAGACATGCCCTGCCCTCACCTCACTCCTCAGACACCCACTCACCGCCACAGACATTTGTGGATGTCTGCTGTATACTAGGCTGTTCCAGGTGCTGAGGCCACATCAATGATCGGACTGGAGTGGTAGGTGGTCCCAACTCTCAAGGAGCTTAAATTCCCCTCGAGTCAGAAAACCAAACAGATCAGAGTGTGTCCAAGGAGGAAGAGATAGACAGGCTAGCTAGAGGTGGGAATCTAGGAGGAGGGAGCAGGGCATGAGTGTGGAGGCACTTGCTCTGTTGTGAAGGAAACAAAGCCTGGGAGGAGGAGAAGCTGGGAAAGTCTCAGGGGACAGAGGAGCAATCCGGTGTGGAACCCTGGGTGTGACCTGAGTGGACACAGCAGACTAAGGGAGGAGGAGGTCAAAGGGGGCCTGTGGGAAGCACCCAGCTGCTGGATGCCAAGGGTGGGGATGTGTGGGTTTTCACTCCTGCCTGCTGGCTGGACCAGAGATGTGGGCACAGCAGGGGAAGCTGTGGGGGACATGGCAACAAGCCTGGTGGGAGGCAAGTGCACCTGACCCTGGGAAAGAAGGGCCATGAAGCTTGGCAGAGCGTTTAGGCTCCAGATAAGATGAGGGATAGAGCCATGAGACCTGGTGCTGAGTCTGATGTGTTAGGAAAGGAGTAGAGCTGCCAAGGAATTTGTCCTGAGTGGGAACAATGAGAAAGGCTGTGAAGAACCCAGAGGCAAGGGAACCCAGGAAAAAGCTGTTTGCATGTGTTAGAGGATAAGGGGTCTGTTAGATTGCCAACGAGGCAACTGAACATTCTAGTCTGGACACTAGGGCTGGAGGTAAATTTACAGCCATAATATTCAAAGCACTGAGGCTGTCTGGGCTTCTGAGGGAAAGAGAAGACTCAGGGACCCAGGACAGGACATGGTGGGGCCTGCTAAACAAAAAACAGAAGCAAGAGGCCTGGAGGATGAATGAATGAGTCAGATTCTGCTGAGCTAGGCCCAGGAGGGCTGAGGCTGCTGCTGGCTTTGGCCCCATGGAGGTTGCTGGTGAACTGGATAGCAGCACTCTTCATAGGGCTCAGTGGGCTAAGAAAAAGCTCAGTGACAGAGCTCATGCTTGGCCTTCACAAAGCCCTTCTTCAGTCCCTGGCATTGGAAAGACACACAAGAGAGAATGGGAGCCGACAGCTGGAGGAGGGGAAACTGGGGGCAGGGCGTTGTGGAGAGGAGCATAGATTTTTAAAGAGTTTTTGGTATATATGAGACACAGAGAATGGGCAAGGGCTCTAGGGCTAAGAGTATTTTGTCGTTTTAATTTTTCTTAAGATGGGAGAAATTACGGCGTTTCCATGCTGACACAACAGTCTAGTCAAGAAGTCAACAATGATACACATGATGATGATGATGCAGGGGAGGGGGACACATCTCTCCCCCAGGTGTCCACAGGGCACTGGACACTAGACACCCCAGTCCTGGACCTGGACCTGTCTTTTACTGGCCATGCGACTCTGCCAGCCCCACAACTTAAGCCTCGGGGCCTCCAGTGAGCAAGGTTGTTCTTAGAACAGCAAGCAGCCTTGCTTCCTTCCCTGGATTGTGCTAGAGATGCAATGGTGTAATAGGTGTGAAAGTGTTCTACAGGGAGCCATGGGTGGGACAGACGGCTGGGATTATTCTTACTACTCGAATAACACAAGAGGTTATCAAGTAGACTTAAAGGCTTAGTACTCTCCACCCAGCCCTGCCTGCATGCATAGCCTCCTCGTGCTGCTTCCATGCTTGCCACCACCTGACCTTCAGGAAGCAAAGTGCATGCCTGGCCCTCCATAGATGCCCACTCTCCAACTCCACCAGCCTCCCTCACCCTGGCTTGACCCACTCCTGTCTATAGCCATGACTGCTCTCTGGGGCCTCCCGATGCTCCTGCCTGGGTGTGTGGCCCTGATTTTGCCTTCTTGCCTCCCTCCCATTCCTTCTCTGTGACTGATCTTTGCTTGAGACAATATGACCTGGAAGGAGGAATGCAGGTCCAGGAGCCAGAAGTGAGCATCCCAGGGTAACCAGGCATCCCACTTTATTTATGTAGGGGTTCTCTAGAAGTGGGACCTCCAGTGCTGACACTGGGAATGGCACTAAATGGGCACAGCGCCTCTGAGTCTTGGCCTCAGATTTGACCTTTACTGTAGAGAGACTGACAGCTTAGCCCGAGGGCTTCTGATGTGAAAGGTGCTTGGCTTCACTTTGCTGTACTTCCAACCTCAAACTCTCTAAGTAGCCAAGGATGACTTTAAACTTCTGATCCTCCTGCTTCCACCTCCCAAACACTAGGATTACAGGTGTGCACCACCATGAAGGATGGATGGAAGAGGCAGTTCTTATATCAAGGTTATCTACATCTTTGGGATGTATTGGGCACTCTTGTTATCCACGAGTCTTAAATTTGTAACTAAACTGGGGACTCTGGCCACTTAGCAGAGCTGAGCAAACTAGAGAGGGAGGAGGTCTGGCCATTTTATCACTGGCAATAGATGTCTCTTAGGCTTCCCATGAATATGTCGTGGACACCAGCTTGTCTCTTGGGTGATCCTGGGGCACATACTCACGTGCTCAGGGCCTACTGGACCAAAGGATATGTTGTGCTGCCTTGGCAGATATCTGTTTTGGTCATGTTGTCTGGGCATCTGCCTCTGCCTTTCAATAGGCCTCTGGAGCCAGATGTCCAAGTTCTCAGCCTTGTCTTGCCACTTCCTAGGATGCCAGGATGACCTTGGCACGTTATCTGACATCACTGAGCTTCCTCTGCATTGTAGCCAGATGTCCAAGTTCTCAGCCTTGTCTTGCCACTTCCTAGGATGCCTAGTTATCTGACATCACTGAGCTTCCTCTGCATTGTGATCTCAGAAGAGTGGAACCTCTCTGCTAGGTGTGGTGTGAGAACTAAGAACAAAAGAGAGAGGGCTGGGGGAAAGTGAGTGCTCCGTGTTAGCTAAGCCCCAGGTGTTCATACCAGTACTCAGGAGGCTGAGGTGGGAGGGTTGCAAATTGAAGGCCAACTTGTTTTTGTTTGTTTGGTTTTTGGTTTTTCAAAACGGGATTTCTCTGTATAATGCCCTGGCTATCCTGGAACTCACTCTATAGACCAGGCTGGCCTAGAACTCACAGATATGCCTGCCTCTGCCTCCCGAGTGCTGTGATTAAAGGCGTGCGCCACCACTGCCCAGTGAGGTCAATTTGTTTTAAAAAGGCAAATAAGTAAATAAATACATACAGAAATTAGCTATTACTGTTAAGTGAATTTGATGAGAACAGCAAAGAGCAAGTTCCCTCTAATGTAGCCTTTCACCAGGTTTGTGACTCTTCCCATACTAACTTGGTCCACACAGCAGGGTATCTCTGAGCTCTGTCCCTCTTAGTCCTGTAGTGGCTGGCAGCTTTGACCCTGCAGTTCTCACATTCCCATATTCCCTCAGAGAGCATGTCTTGGACACAAGGCAGAATCCCTGAATGTGGTACTATGCCAGGCCCACCCTCAGATGCTGCAAAAAGATTCTGGAGAGACTGTGAGGAAAATACAGAGTGGAAGAGTCATGGAGCTGAGAAGGTGGCCCCAGAAGCTGGGCCAGACTCACCAATGTGAACACACCCGCTCCTAGCACGGCATAGACAGCGTGGAGCCAGGGGACCTGTGGGCACAGGAAGGATGGGCTTTAGTGTGTGAAAGGGATAGCTGGCAGAAGGGCCAGGGGTTGGGGGAAAGGCTCAGTCTAGAGGATGGAGGAAGTGGGGTAACTCTCCACAGGACTGAGAGGGGCTTGTGATTCTGTAGGTGCTCACAGTGTAGGACAGAGAGACCCCAGAGTAATCATGGGGACACTTGCAGCGAGTTCCCACAGACCTGATATTTTTTCTTCAAAACACAGCCCCAGGCTCAGGCTGGCCAAGGATGACTCATCCTATCTGACTTATGATCCTCCTGGGTCTGGCTCTAGGCTTCCCCTACTGTTCCTATCCACCCCTGCTCTACCTATCTGAGGTCTGTCTGTCCCTCTCACAGAGAGCTCTCTGTCTCTGCCTTGGGAGCAAGAGCTCAGGTGGAAGAAGTCAGTTGAACTCAGACCCAGTATGGAGGTAGAGGCACCTGGAACCTCTGCCAGACAGGCATGAAGGGCCTGCCTCAGGAGGCCGGAACAGTGCCCTTCCCAGCTAGAGCTCACCCTGGTTGTGCATGCAAACTCCACAACCCTAAGGTGCCATGTTAGCACTGCCCTTTGTGGAACCCTTCCAGAAAACTTCCCAGAAGATCCCTGGAAACACAGGCATCCCATCAGCTCAGTGTGGGTCAATAAAGAGCTCTTTGAAGTTCTGAGGCTCCTTCCTGTAGCCCCCTCCCCATCCTAGATACTAAGAGGCCCAGGCCAGCTCCAGGCCCTCCCTTCGTCAACAGGATCCTGGGAAGAGCCAAAGAAATGCCAGAATCAATCTTGACATCCTAGACTAGGTGCCAACCACCCGGAGGCTGGGGCTGGGCGCCATGGAGGTAGGTTAGAGGAGATGAGGTAGACCATCCCAGCTTGGCAGACAAGATGCAGTGGAGGGTCAGGTACCAAATGTGGCTGGAGAGACCACCACTGAGTCCCCAATAGACCCAATGCTTTCTTTCCTGTGTTCTCAGGACTCAAACCACCTGTCATGCCCCCTATCTGTTCCCCAGTATTGGTGGCTTCAGCTCCTACACAGTAGGCACTCTTCCAAGCAGGATGTGGGTGGGTGGTCTGTGAGATGGGGTGTAGAGTGTGTCCCTGCCCCCCTGCCTCACTCCCCTCTTCCTGGCCAGTCAGATTCTGTCTCTTTGGGCTTGGCTGGTCCCCCAGGCGGTCCCCTAAGCCTTGTGGGCCCCTGGAGCCCCAGTGTATCTTTCTCAGCTACAGCCCCTCTCTCCCTTCCCTCCACCTGCAGGGGAGGATAGGGAAAGTGAAGCCGGATGCAGCTCATGGAGCTGGGCAGGTGCCCAGGCCTGCCAAGAAAAGCCTCCTTGTTTGCTTGTGTATGCTGCCAACACACCTAGGGCAGGTGCCAGGAGGGCTGGACAGGGTGGCAGGCTGTGGAGCTTTGGCCCCGGGCCTGCCCTGAAGGGGTAGAAGAACATGGCACCCTGGGCATCTGGCCATCCCCACCCTCCTCATGGGCCTGGAGACTTACATATTGGAAGGGCAGGAGGATGGCTAGAAGGATTCCACTGAAGAAAAGGGTCATGAGCAGCACGAACAGCACACCCTGGCAGGAGGTGAAGTCAAACTGCGGGACACAGGGGACCATCAGCACTGGGCCTCAGCAGTATGCTGGGCAGAGGCTGAGACCCCCCACAGCCCACAATATCCCTCTTCTAGGTGACATCTCCAGACCCCCTTTTGCCTCTCCCAAGTCCCACGTGGATCCCTGACTCACGTGCCTTTTCTGACCCACGTGCTCTCTCCTGACCCACGTGCCCTTCCCAGCCCATATTCTCTCTCATGTGCCCTCTCCTCAGCCCCACGTGGATCTCTGACCTCCCCCCCCCATGCCCTCCCCTGCCCACAGGCCCAGGGCTGACCTTGGTCTGGAAGCTGAAGATGGTGACTGAGAGGCAGACGAGGGCCGTGATGCCCAGGCACAGCAGTACGGATGTGGTATTGTAGTAGCTGAGGATGGGCACGGGGTCAGGAGGATCCCCCTCTCCCCACCCTCCTCACAGGCCCACCCTTTTCTGCCAGAAGCTGTCTTTATGATCTGTCGGCCCAATCTGTTCCGTTCCCAGGACCACCCACTCTCAACTTTCCCAGGCGTCTCTGTCCATGGACACTCATTAATGAGGTGAGGGTCTAGAACAGGCAGAATGGGATACGTTCATGTCAGTGTCTGGGGCAGTTTACAGGTAACTACACCATCACAAGTCAGCGGGGGGCGAGGGGGGGCGGCGTCAAAGCCACAGCTTAGGTGGCATCATTTTACTGTCTTCTGCCCTCATCCCAACCCCACCCACCTGCTGGGGTCTTAGAGCCACTGGCCACATAGTGCCTAAGGAGGTGACTCTAGGCCAAAGTGGTCTGTCTGTTCCTCCCCCAGCCAAGAGCTCCCTGGAAAGACGGGATCTGTGGGGTGTTGTTCCCTGCAGGTGTAGCCAGACCCTGGCTGCATGCCTGCTTAGGACACTCTGCCCCGTTTACCTGGACAACATCCCAGTGAGATAGGCCATGGACAGGGTCTGAAAGGAGAGCAGGGTGAGGACTGCTATTGCATGTGGACGTGGGGGCCTGGGCACTCTCAGGGTCTAACCTGGGCCTCCACCCCATGTACACAGTCCTCACACTGAGACTGCTGTACTCTGTACAGGTTTCTGTTCAAGACTGAGGCCCCGCTTTACAGTGTTCCCCTGGCCAGCTCACAGGCACCTCAGACTAGCTGTCCCCTTGTCTCTTAGGCAGCCTTGTTCTTCCTGTGAGAACCCCTTATTCTTCATTATCCTAACTGGCTGGAAGTCCCACATGATCTCCCCAGGACAAAAGACTGGGCACAAAAGGGAGAGGGGGGAGCTTCAACCCATTCAGAAAGAGAGGGTGGAATGTTCTGCTGTTGCACCAGGAACCTCACATTGGCTATCCCCAGTCTAGACTCTCTGGCCTTCAGACCCCATGCTGCCTTTATCCTTCCTCCACCCACAATCAGCATCTGTCCCCCCGGCTCACCCCAGTCACTTACAAAGATGGTCAGCAGAATCAGGTTCCAAGGGAAGTGTCTCCTGCAAGGTAAGCCACGGGCCTCAGAGGACACTCCAACCCGCAGGGCTCTGTGTACTCTGTGGAATCTCTCCCTTCATTCAAACCCTCTCATGCCCCCACGGCCTATCTACCTCAGAGGCACAAAGTGAAGGGCAGAGGGCCTGGTCCATTTGACTGCTGTTCAGAGAGGGATAAGGCCCCCTCAGGGCTGCACAGCCCCCTGGGGGAAGGCAGGGCTCAGAGCAGACGTTTAAGGTCTTCATTTTTTACAAGTAGCCCCCAAGTCACAGTCATACCTGGGTCCAGAGCAGCAAGCCAGAGTCAGGTAAGTTGCTGGACAGGGTGGCAGGCTGTGGAGCTTTGGCCCCGGGCCTGCCCTGAAGGGGTAGAAGAACATGGCACCCTGGGCATCTGGCCATCCCCACCCTCCTCATGGGCCTGTAGTCTGGAGACTTACGTATTGGAAGGGCAGGAGGATGGCTAGAAGGATTCCACTGAAGAAAAGGGTCATGAGCAGCACGAACAGCACACCCTGGCAGGAGGTGAAGTCAAACTGCGGGACACAGGGGACCATCAGCACTGGGCCTCAGCAGTATGCTGGGCAGAGGCTGAGACCCCCACAGCCCACAATATCCCTCTTCTAGGTGACATCTCCAGACCCCCTTTTGCCTCTCCCAAGTCCCACGTGGATCCCTGACTCACGTGCCTTTTCTGACCCACGTGCTCTCTCCTGACCCACGTGCCCTTCCCAGCCCATATTCTCTCTCATGTGCCCTCTCCTCAGCCCCACGTGGATCTCTGACCTCGTGCTCTCTCCTGACCCACGTGCCCTTCCCAGCCCATATTCTCTCTCATAAGCCCTATCCTCAGCCCCACGTGGATCTCTGACCTCCCCCCCCCATGCCCTCCCCTGCCCACAGGCCCAGGGCTGACCTTGGTCTGGAAGCTGAAGATGGTGACTGAGAGGCAGACGAGGGCCGTGATGCCCAGGCACAGCAGTACGGATGTGGTATTGTAGTAGCTGAGGATGGGCACGGGGTCAGGAGGATCCCCCTCTCCCCACCCTCCTCACAGGCCCACCCTTTTCTGCCAGAAGCTGTCTTTATGATCTGTCGGCCCAATCTGTTCCGTTCCCAGGACCACCCACTCTCAACTTTCCCAGGCGTCTCTGTCCATGGACACTCATTAATGAGGTGAGGGTCTAGAACAGGCAGAATGGGATACGTTCATGTCAGTGTCTGGGGCAGTTTACAGGTAACTACACCATCACAAGTCAGCGGGGGGCGAGGGGGGGCGGCGTCAAAGCCACAGCTTAGGTGGCATCATTTTACTGTCTTCTGCCCTCATCCCAACCCCACCCACCTGCTGGGGTCTTAGAGCCACTGGCCACATAGTGCCTAAGGAGGTGACTCTAGGCCAAAGTGGTCTGTCTGTTCCTCCCCCAGCCAAGAGCTCCCTGGAAAGACGGGATCTGTGGGGTGTTGTTCCCTGCAGGTGTAGCCAGACCCTGGCTGCATGCCTGCCTAGGACACTCTGCCCCATTTACCTGGACAACATCCCAGTGAGATAGGCCATGGACAGGGTCTGAAAGGAGAGCAGGGTGAGGACTGCTATTGCATGTGGACGTGGGGGCCTGGGCACTCTCAGGGTCTAACCTGGGCCTCCACCCCATGTACACAGTCCTCACACTGAGACTGCTGTACTCTGTACAGGTTTCTGTTCAAGACTGAGGCCCCGCTTTACAGTGTTCCCCTGGCCAGCTCACAGGCACCTCAGACTAGCTGTCCCCTTGTCTCTTAGGCAGCCTTGTTCTTCCTGTGAGAACCCCTTATTCTTCATTATCCTAACTGGCTGGAAGTCCCACATGATCTCCCCAGGACAAAAGACTGGGCACAAAAGGGAGAGGGGGGAGCTTCAACCCATTCAGAAAGAGAGGGTGGAATGTTCTGCTGTTGCACCAGGAACCTCACATTGGCTATCCCCAGTCTAGACTCTCTGGCCTTCAGACCCCATGCTGCCTTTATCCTTCCTCCACCCACAATCAGCATCTGTCCCCCCGGCTCACCCCAGTCACTTACAAAGATGGTCAGCAGAATCAGGTTCCAAGGGAAGTGTCTCCTGCAAGGTAAGCCACGGGCCTCAGAGGACACTCCAACCCGCAGGGCTCTGTGTACTCTGTGGAATCTCTCCCTTCATTCAAACCCTCTCATGCCCCCACGGCCTATCTACCTCAGAGGCACAAAGTGAAGGGCAGAGGGCCTGGTCCATTTGACTGCTGTTCAGAGAGGGATAAGGCCCCCTCAGGGCTGCACAGCCCCCTGGGGGAAGGCAGGGCTCAGAGCAGACGTTTAAGGTCCTAATAGTTTACAAGTAGCCCCCAAGTCACAGTCATACCTGGGTCCAGAGCAGCAAGCCAGAGTCAGGTAAGTTACGAAGAACACAGCACTGTGAGAGAGACAGATGAGCAAATCAGAGGGTCTCTCCTGAGGCCTTCTACCTTGTCTCAGTTGATCCTACGCTGCCACCCCTACCCAAACTTCATCAGGCAGGATGTCAAGAGCAGAGAGAAGGGCGATGGGCAGGATGGTAGCCTAATTCCCCAAAGAGACACTGGTAGTTGGGTGGGACAAGCCTACTTCTAGCATATTTAATCTTGGAAGCTACAGCAAAGACCTTTGCTGCTGTTTGTGTGTTTTCTGAGGCTGTCTCACTATGTAGTCCAGGCTAGCCTTGAACTCTCAGTGATCCTCCTGCCTCAGCCTTTAGTGTCCTGATACTGCAGACTTGAATCACCCCACCTGGCTAAGAAACGGTAATTAGAAAGTTTATCCCCCATGGCCTGAGCAGATCACTCAAAGGTCACACACGGGGGCTGGGGAGGGGAGTGGCCAGCAAGCATGAGGATGCGACTTCAGCCCCTAGAACCCAGGTGAAAATGCTGGGCGTGGGCGTGGGCATGGTAGCGCTCTCAGAATCCCAGCACTTGGAGAGGCAAAGAGAGGAGGCTTTCTGTGGCTCAGCATGATGGCCAGCCAGTCTAGCCTCACTGGGGAGCTCCAGGCCAATGAGACACTCTGTTTCAAAGGAGTTGGATGGCTCTCCTGAGGACGACACCCAAAATTGGCTTCCAGCCTCCATACACACATGTACACATGCACACCTGTACCAATCCATGGGCACACATGTGCACACCCTTAAGCATGCATTACAAAAAAAGGGCTCATGCCAGGCATTGTAGCCTGGTGATGCAATCCCAGCACTCTGGAGATACAGGTGAGAGGATGGGGATTCAGAGTCATCCTGGTCTACTAATGGAGTCTAAGGCCAGACAACTCCATGAGAGACTCTGCCTCAAAAATAGTAGTTAAGTATAAAGCAAACTAAAAGCTATCGTAGTATGTATTTTGTGTGCTGGGCAGATTTTTATTATTTATTTATAGCTTTTTGAGACAAGAGCTCACTATGTACCTCTGGCTGACCTGGAATTTATACATAGGCCAGGGGAATCAGGTTTGACGTTTGTTTGTTTTGACAGTGTTTAATAAATATTGACATGGTTCTTCCTTCTTCATGGACTATGGTCTCCTTCACAGAAGAGGTCAGGTGTCTTGTCCAAGGTCATGAACAAGATGCAGGACTGAAACCTAGGTGCTCCAGGTGCAGGTAGCTGCCTTCTAACCACTGCTACACACTGCTTCTCTCATCACTACCTGCAGCCATCCTGTTTTTTTTTTTTTTTTTTTTTTTTTTTTTTTTTTTTTTTTTTTGCTCTCCCCTTCCTGGCTATGGGCTCAGCATGGACTGGCCTGCCAGCACCAGGCAGAACAGGTAGTAGAATCAACTTCTGGATCACGTATCCATGTCCAGTGGGAAGTGGCTAGAGGGTGGTTGACTGCTGAGTGTTTTCTAGAAAGCAATGGGCAAAGACTAGGCAATGGAAGATAGAGAATGAGCTCCCAAGACTGTTCACCTACCAATGCGTGGCCTCCACCCTCAGCAGGCCTTCAACATGGCCCTGAAGTCCTTTCTTTCCCCATCCCTTCAGCATCCTGCCCGCCCTCCATAACAGCAATTCCAGACAGCCTCCTCCTTCCCCTAAACTCCCATACTGCCTCACTCTCTGCTATGTTCCAGAAAGATCTGAGATAATGAGGTGCGGCTCCTGTGGCTCCTGGCCCATCACCTGAAAACCTCACGTGGCGCTACCAGTCTCCCTGTCCCTTATCCCTTCCCAGGCCAATACCACCAACCTGGGTTTTGGGTCTCAGGCCTTCGAAAGCCAGGTGACGGCTTACTTTAACGCTCCTGAGGGGGTCACCTCTTCTCCCATGTCAACCTCCTTGGCCTCTCCCCGTCTTCACTCAGCATCTTCCCTGTTTCTAGCTCCAGCAACTCTGCACCCTCTGCATTCTCTACACAGAGTTTCTTTTCCATCTCCTCAACCAGCCCAACAACCTGACCTCAGCCTCACATAATGAGAGCTGGCTTGGTCACATCAGGGTGACCTTGTTGCGTTCAGTTGTCACTCATTGGTTCTTACACTGCCTGACTTCTCAATGTCTGGTCACTCCTGTTGTTTCCCTGGTTCCACAATGACACATTTTTGGGTTCCCTCCTGGACACTCCTCCTCAGTCTCTTTTAGGGAGCCTCTGAAGGAGCTGTTCTCTTCAAGGGAGACCTCTCCCAGCCCACTCATTCCTCGCTCACCTGACGGTGAACCTGTACCTCAGGATGGGTTTCCATTTTCCCTTCTCAGCACTACATTAGGCAGCCAAAATAGATGTTCCAGGCAACAGTAGCTTTTCAGAAGTCAACCAGACTCAACGCCATAGAGCTGAGCTCTGTATTCTCTCTGCTTCTGAACCCCCACTGCCGAGGGCACCATGCAACCGTCAAGCCACCCAGCCAGAGGCCTCAGAGGCCTCAGCATCATTCTTGGCGCTCGCCCTACCACACCCAATTAATCACCTGGATCTGTTCACCCTCCCACTGATACCTCACTCTTCCCTCCATCTCTGACACCTCCCTTTGAAGTTGGGTCACCTCTTTCTCTTCTTGCTCTAGCCTTCAGCCCAGCCTTCTACCCTCCACACTACAGGCTGATCACTACATTTTCCCAGGAGACTTGGTTGGCAATGTCTGCAGCACAGTCCACCCACCAGTGACTCTGTTGTCACCACACCTGGTCCCTACTCCCTGCTTCTTCTCATCACAACTTGCTTGGCACTCTCAAAATATGCCTACCACTCTGCTGGCAGGACAGAGACTCCCTTGTCCACCTTGCTTCCTCCATAGCATAGACACAGCTCTGATTGCAGCCTGCACCCCTGCCTCAGCCAGTTCAGTGAGCATGGTCCCACTCCTGTGGAGCACCTGGAGGCCAGTTTGAGACTTGCTTCCTTTTCCTGCCATCTAACCTGGAGCCTGATACCCAGTAGGCACTCTGGATAAAATGGAAAAGACAAACAGAAGCAATAACAAAACAGGCAGGCCAGGGCTCATGACCTGGAGGTTCTGCTGCCACCCGATGCCAGGTGCCAGAACTGTGCCCACTCTGCACATGTGGGACAGCAGAACCCTCCTATTCCTGGTGAAAAGTACCCTGCTTCTTATGGTCTCTCACTTGAGTCACTGTTCAGTCACTTCAACCACTATGACAATAACAGAATACTTGGCCGTGTGTCACTCTGGCCAGACTGGAAGCTTCCTGGGGGCAAGGGTCTCATGTCCTTTTCTCTGGGCTCCCTAGTTCCTCAACCCTGAAGATAAGCATCAGAAGGAAGGGCACAGACTCAGGATTCCAAGACCATGGTACAGCTTTGGAGTCTGGCACTGGAAGTCCTGTTCCACGCCTGCTATGAGCCTATGGCTGCAGACAAGGATTTAATAGCCAGTCCCAGTACCCTGCTTTGCAGAATAGGAAGACTGCTCACAAGCTCCGAAAGACCTGGTGGGAGGGTGCAGCACTTAGCACAAGTTTAGCACCAGGCTGGACTTGTGGATGGGAGCTGCTTATTGTCATTAGAGGCTGGCTGACAGCTTTCCCGAGCCACCCCTACCCCAGCCCTAGCCTCACACTTCTCTACCACAGACACCATGCTCAGTGGGAGCAATCAGACAACAAGGCAAGAAGAACCCAGTGGAGAGAGACGACAGGGACCTTGAGAAAGCCAGGTTGGGGCAGAAGGCAGGGGGTTGTGTGAGTGAGAACAGTCTGGTTTCATGTTGAAGCCTCAGCCCCAGGACCTGGGACAGTCTGTTTAGTGTCAGGATAGAGACTGAGACTCAGGTGAAGACCAGGGACAAAACCCATTGGCCTTCCGCAGCTGACTTGCTCTCACAGCCAGGGCTAGGGCCAGCAGACCACAGTGGGCAAGCGTTTGGTCGTTAAACAGTTCTAGCTTTCTACCTGGTTCTGATGCCCTGTAATCAGCTCCTCTCTGCCTCAATTTCCTCGTCTGGGAAATGAAGATTGTAACAGCACCTGCTCTGCGGGGTTATTAAAAGCGGGTTGAGAACTATATGTCAAACACTTGGCATGGTGCCTCATGCATAGAAAACAGCTGTTTTATCCTCTCTGTTATGAATGCTGTTCCAACAGGAGGAGGCAAACAAGGGAGCCCTCAGGGAGCATTTGATATGTTGGAAGTGAGGAGGTGAGACCTGACAGGATGTGGGGGCAGAATAGGGAGAGGAGAGGGGTGTGGAGGGCAGGGTAGATCCTCAGGGAGGCCTTCTGCAGGAAGAGGAGGCACCCTCAGCAACATCAGTGCTTTGTTGCATCCCAGGAGAGCACACTCCATGTCCACCCCAACCCTCTCCACCTGCCCCCACTTCCCACCCCTCTCCACCTGCCCCCACTTCCCACCCCTCTCCACCTGCCCCCACCTCAGAACGTCACTGTTTTCCACTTAAACGACATCATTCTAAGGTGAGCTGCTTCCCCCCTCCCCCACTCCCTTTTCAGCATGGTACAATGTACTCTGAGCTGTTTCTGCCACTACACGCCCAGGACATGGAGTCCCACAAACTGTCATAGCAGAGGGGTCCAGGACACCATTTCCAAGGTCTCGGGGGGAGGGGAGGCGCTGAGCCTACCAGACAGTGCTGACGTGCTAAGAACCATGCCAACCTGCGTGTGGGCCAGCCAAGATGGCAGTCCCTGGGGCCTCATTAGCTGTACACACAGTGCCTCCCAACTCCTCAGGACTAGGCTCTCCCTCCTGGGATGCCAAGTGCCCCTCTGTCCTGTGCCCTAGGAAAGTCTCTGAGTATAGACGTCTTCACCTCTGGAATCCTAGGACGTTTCCTCACTGTTAGTCTGTGGCCCACTTGTACCAACTCTAAGCCGACTTTAAGACCACTCTAGGCTCTGGTGGCTGAGCCCAGCTCTGCACTTAGTCCCTATGAAAGAACAGGTTGAGCCAGTCAGTGTGCACACCCCTCTGCCATACTCTCTCTTGACACTTGGCCCACAAGGACCCCACTGCTCTCTGAGATGGCCTTCTCTGTCTGTCCATCTAGACCCTAGGGTAGGGAACACACCTCAGTGTTCTCACTCCCATGCTTTCGGCTTCAGCCACCTCTCTCACAGCCCTAGTCCATCCCATGAATCGCCCCACACACCTCTGACAACTCCTGTGTAAACTGCTTTGCATACATCACACACCCATTGTCTTCCCTCCAGGTAGAGGCCTCCTGCCCAGTAGCTCCAATACAGGGCTGGCTCACACCGGATAACAATGGGGACTATGGAAATATCAATTTTCTGAGTCTAGGATGGTTCTGGTCTGAAAATATCCAAAATATTTCTTAATTACCAGGAAGGAGGGTCCAAGTCACCTAAACAACCTCCGGCCTCCGCTTGCAAGTTGCCTGCCATACTCCTTAACGAGTATAGGACTAGTAGAAGCCAAGTGGCTGTAGGGCGGAAGGGAGACTGCCAAGCAGAGGGATTAAGAGCACAAGCCTTAACTTGAACCCAGCTCCACCACTGACTAGCTGTGTGACCTTAGGCAAATTACCCAACCTCTCTGAGCCTTAAGGTTTTCTGAGGTAATCCAGTAGATTTGAGAATCAAATGCAATACTGTATATCCAGCACACAAAACAGTGCCCAGCCCTTAATTAGGTACTCTAAGTGGTGGCTCTTATGATTAATAATTTCATAAGCATTAATAACAATGTTAATAAGAGTGGCAACATTATCATTAGAGAAGGTCAAAGTGTTCCAGCCCCTTCCCTCATAGGGTCAACTTACTGGCTCTCTCCATCCTGGGCCCTAGCCCCACCCTTACCAACCTGTAGAGGGACTGTCACCCCCCTCTCCAGTTATCCTGTCAGATCTGAACAACTCAAAAGTTGCCCCTAGCCATGCTAGGGGTCCTCCCCTTGGGGTGTGGGAATGTTGTAGTTTGGAGCCATTGATGGAGCACAGTATCTCTCAGAAGGGGTCTCCAGGGGCATACTCACTAGGATGCCCAGTACCAGCCTGGGTTGGCCTGCACGTAGTCCTTCACAACATCACTGTAGAAAGGCAAGCAGAGTCAGAGGTTGCCCCAGGTTTGTTTGTGTTCAACATCTGTACCTGCCCCACATGGACTCAGAGAAAGGAGGGGAGACTGGGCTCTGAACAGCCAAGTTGGGACCTAGGGGAGCCTGGACAGGTGACTGTGGGGCAGAGCCAAGTGTTGCTGTGGCCTGGAGGACCCACCTGACACTGTTTGAGGGACTTCACACATAGTGTGCAACCAATGTTTTTCCCCAGCGCGAGGGTACCCACTGCCCCTCATCTATCCAGGTGGACACCCCAAGAGAGATTTGATGAAGTCCCCCTGCCCTAAGTCTGGCCATGGTCCTCCTGGAAGATGTCAGTCCACTTTGCCAACTTACCAAAAGGTAAAGAGAGCCACAACAGTCAAGGTCACCAACAGCTGGACCAACAGGATGGTATAGACCTGAGGGAAGGGGTGGTCAGTGGGGGAGCCCTGAGCTCTAGCAAGGCTCTGAGAGACCCCAGTTCCCAGGGACTCATCTGAAGATAGACCTACCTATTGGATACTTTCACCCTCCTTCATAGGGGTCACTGGGTGGATTGAGACTAGTGGAGGGAAAATAAAGTCACTAGACCCTCAGGTGGAGCAGCCCAAGGAGCCCAGGGGACATAGAGCAAGGGCCCTGGGTAAAACCTTGGAAGCACATGCCAGGAGGAGCCATGAGCTGGGATGTCAGGAGAAAGGGAAAGGAAACTCTTTCAGACAGAGGCTGAGCTAAGGTCCTTCCAGGAGTTCAGAACAGGGCCCCAAGCCATTCATCCCCCTTACCCAGCCCAGAGCATGGGAGAGGCAGTTACCTTTCTGATGAAGAGCCGGCAAACTTTCTGGTCATCCCAGCTGAAGGCAGTGAAGAGCTCAGGGTTTCCTGTGGGGAAATCACTTTCGAAGCTGGAGATGCTGCCTGGGAGGTGGGTGGAGGCTGTGAGGGCCCTCTGCCAGCCCATCTCATGTTCGTCTGGCTTTCAAGGCTTCTGAAGTCTTTCTCTCCAGCCCTGAGGTCAACTACCTCCTCCTGCCCCCATCCTGCCCACTCCACAGCTGTTTCTGATCACTTCTTGCTCTCCCTTCTTTGACCCCAACAATGAGCTATCTCCCGTTTTTTCCCTCCACAATAGTTGGGGCTCTGGGGGACTAACTTCCACCATTCAAATGTCCCCTTCCCTCTTATGTCCCCATTCCCCTCCCCGGACACTCCCGCTCCTGTGCATCAGCAAGGGGTAGCCAGTCCTCCTGGCCAGTGTCATAGGACCAAAGATCCTGTCCAACTCTGGCTGCACTGAGGCCCATGGGTGGAGGAGCTGGGCTTGCTGGTGCTCAACTGCAAACGAGGGCCACTGGCAGCTGGCTGTGGGAAAGGAGGCAAAAGTGCAGTGGGCGGGGTCCAGGCCTGGTCCCAAAGCTCTGGCTTTTACAGGACTAAAGACCCCATAGCCAAACAGACCCACAGGTGGATTTGACAATCCGTAGGACAAGTTGTGTGACCAGAGCACATCACTGGCATTCTCTGAGTTTCCTCGTGTGGACAACGAGCCACTGCACAGGGACAAAATTAGATAACACTGAAAGTCTGCATGCTCTGTGCCTGGTGGGGACCACACTGCCTTTGCCCTTGTGTCCCTCTTTAGGGGCACTCTCATGTCCTGGAATGTATCTACTCTTGTCCCCTCTACTGGCCCCATCAGGTCTGGCTATATTTTCCTTTCCCCTAGCAACAGTGTCTGCCTTGGTCTCTTGAAGATGACCATGCCATTACCCTGTTGGAGCTCTTCAGTGATTCGTCTCCTGCCCATCTCTCAGGTTCAAGTTCTTTTTTTTTTTTTTTTTTTGAGACATGGTCTCAAGAAGACCAGGCTGGTCTTGAACTCACTATGTGGCTGAGGATGACCCTGGACTTCTAATTCTTCCATTTCCAACTCCTGAGGGCTAGGTATAGACATACAACACTACACTGGGCAGGTTAAGTTCCTTTAACAATGCCAGGGTGAGTGGAGTCCTCCAGCCACACCTCACCGTGAACAGTCCTTCCTACCCTTTCTCAGCCTGACTACAATGTTCAGTTACCTGCTTCCTGCCCTGGACTCTGCCCACTTAGTGCTTTCTGAGGGACATTCATTGCTTTGTCTCCTCACATGCTAATTCACAACATTCTTCAGAGCTCTGCAGAGATATAGGAAAATTTCCCTGACTGGCTGGCCAGACATAAGTCACTAACATCTTCACCAATACTGATAGTTCTGGGATCCCAGCTATAGCACCTTAGCTGTCTGGCTGAGCTGCCTGCAAGAACTTAGCCACTGGCTGTGAGGAGGGACCCCTAAGTCCTCAGCCCCATGCTGGTGAGATGGTTCAGTCAGGGGGATTGGCTGTCTCTTGATGATTCTTGGTCACATGAGCTGGAGTGTCCAGGGAGGGGAACAGGAACACAAGAGGGAAAGAGCATTTGAATGATGGAGCTTGGTGCCACAGAGCCCCAACCATTGTGGAGGGAGAGGACAGGAGACGACTCATTGCTGGGGTCAGAGCAGGGAAAGCAAGAAGGGACCAGGAAGACAGATGTGGGGTGGGCCAAAGAGAGTATTTGACAGCATGGCTGGAAAAGACTTCAGAAGCCTCAACAGCCTGATAAGTGGGGCAGGGAGCTACCCAGCTCTCTATCACCTGGGGCACTTGAGGCACAGTGGCAGGCATCCATTGACAGTCACCTCAGAGAGGACAGACTCTGTGTTCCCTGGACCAGCTCGTATCTGACATTTCCCAGGCTACACTAAGAAATGCCTGTCACCTGTGGCCTTCAAGGATCAGCCTCCCTTCCATAGCTCCTTAGATATTTCTTAGATAAGTGTCCATCCCAGCAACCAGGGCAGGAGAAACGAGAGGGTATGGAACTCCCCACCACACCTTCATTGACTTTCCAGTATGTCACACTGGAGTGAGGCAGCTGGGCTCTGGACCGAGGGGTATTTTTGGAAGAGACACGGACCATGGTGGCCTCTTGCTTCTTATGAACAGGGGCTCTGTGAGCAGAGGCTTGGCCAGGGGCATTGTCCTCACATCCCTTCTAGAACTTTGCAGACAGTTGGAGTGTCATAGTGGGGGGGGGGGGCAGGAGAGGAGCAGCAGACAAACCCTGAAAGGTCTGAAAGTTAAATTTAAAAATGTTATTTGTTGTTATATGCAAGTGCGTGTGTGACTCTGTATGCACACATGTGTGCATGTGTTTATAATTTGGGTGCATGCATGCTATGAAGCATATGTGGAGGTCAGAGGTCAACTCTCAGGAGTCAGTTCTCTCCTACCATCTGCCCTGGAATCCTGGGATGGAACTTACTTAGGTCATTGGTTATTGCAGCAAGGTGTATTTACCTGCTGAACCATCTCACCAGCCTGGGGCTCAGGATTTAGAGGGTCCCCTCTTCACAGCCAGTGACAAAGTCCTTGCAGGCTGTTCAGCCAGACAGCCAAGGTGCTGCTGCTGGGATCCCAGAACTGTCACTTTCGGTGAAGTTGTTGGTGCCTTATGTCTGGCCAGCCATGTAGGCTAGTTCCCACACACTTACCCCACACTGTGCCTGTCCCCTGCAAAACTTGGAGAAAGGGTGGAAGATAATGACAGCAGTTGGGAGGGGAGGCCCCACCCCTTAATCTCTGACAACCCTAGGCCTTATAGAGGCCTGGCCCCACTGAGTTTTCAGACCAGTTGAATATAAACACTATACCCCACTCAGTGCACCAGCACTGCCAAGGACACAGTACGGGGCATGGCCTTTCACTACCCTTTCTGATCTCTTTGATCTCTCCCAACCCCGGGTCTGTGTCCCTTCCTTCTAAAAGGGTCTTTTTAGATGAGAACTTGGCTTTTATCCCTTATCCATCTCCTCCAACTGGCTTAGCTCAGTGATTTGTAGAGTCCCTCTTTCTCTAGCTAAGGGTACCCTGACTAGACACTTCTAGAGTTCTCTTTGACCTACCCTCAGAAGAGCCCTCCGAAGCCTCTGACAACAGTGTTCTGCACAACTACACCATACAGGCGGGGTCTGGACACCTTCCCCCTACCCAGCACCCAGCACTCCTCCTACCCCGTTGCTGAGAGACTTACTGGGGTCCACATAGGCCCAGCTTGGATGGAGAGGTACAGCTGTGGGGGCCTGGGGGAAGACCCCTGCCTTCAGCCCATCTCCAGAGGTGGCCTCCTCATAGGAGGGTGGCGCTGATGGCACTGCGGGAGCCTCCTTCTTCTCACCATTTGTCTGATGCTGCCCCTCACTCCCGGGGGCCTTGTTAGCCACAGAGAGCTGTAGAGTAGAGGCAGAGAGAGAGAGACCGTACAGGTTAATATGGTTACCAGGGACAGCTCTGGATTCCTGGAATCTGCCTCAGTGCTCTTGCAACCGGTGCTAGGGAGTGGGGCAGACAAGACCCACCCCCAGGTTCAGAGTCCACAGAACCAAGCTCAGAGGGGTTGTGCCAGCCAAGAAGAAGATAGATAAGAGAGGAAGCAGAAAATTCACAAGGGTGCCCGTGGAGGCCATAGGGCCACCTGGGGAAGGAACTGGGCCTCTGTGATCCTACGGTTGCCCTGTGCTCCAGGGAATGTCCTGACCCATAGGAAACCTGTTATTGAACAAAACGTTCTCCCATTTTATTGTCTTCCCAGCTTGCTTACTGCATTCAACTAATTTTATTTTACATCATCATTATTTTGATGTTGTTTGTTTGTTTTTGAGACAGGGTCTCCCTATGAAGCCCTGGGTGTCCTGGAACTCACTCTGTAAACCAGGCTGACCTCCAATTCATTGAGATCCACCTGCTTCCACCTTCTGAATGCTGGGGTTGAAGCTGGACACCACCATGCCCAGTTATTCAGTCAATTTTAAAATGAGGAAACCCAGAATCAGACAGAAAGAGTGATATTCAAACTCCCAGGTGCTACAAGTGGTGCCTAGGGCTACAGGGCTCAGGCTCGATCTCTGGGGACAGGCTGCTTTCTGCTGTGCTGGAAAAGCTGGAGGGTGGATGGGAGAGAGCCTTCGGGGTACAGGGAGAGCAGGTCCCACAGAAACAGCCTTTCCCAGCCAGAACAGAACAACAGAGTGCCATCCTCACTGGAGGGGCTGAAGAAGACATCTGCTTTAGGCTCTTCCTTCCCATGAGACAAGGGACGGAGTGAGACCCAGGGGGAACTGTGCTCAGGGCAGACTAGGAATTCCAGTCCACTTACACTCAGATTTGCCCCCTGCCTACTATGGGCATGGTAGCTTGGTGAGACAATGCCCTCTGTGAGGGTCAGGGAGCGAAACACTGGGACAGAGGGCGTGAAGACAGAGACACCAAAGAAAGGCTGGCCTCAGAAGGCACCACTTCTGTCTGGCTGCAGAGGTCCCTGCTGAAGCTCAGGGACTGCGGAGGTAGATTGGTGGCCTTGCAAGGAGACAAACGAAGAGGCCCCTGATTTCTACCGCCCACTGGACTTCTGGAGGCTCGTAGCACCCCAATTTCTAAAATATCCTGTGGAGATGCTGGGAGCAAGGGGCTGAGGAACAGAGGCATCTGTGCCCCCAGATCAGAAAGCAGAGCTGGCTCCTGACTGGTGGAGTCGGGTGGGAGGGGAAGGGGAGACTCCACTTCCCCACGCTCAGCTCCTGCCTCCTGGAGTGGGACCCGGAGCCCAGGCAACCTGACTCCCTTCATTATATAGACTGAAATGAGTACAAAGGAAGCTGCCTTAGCCTCTATCCCTCCACTTAGCTCCCCAGAACCTCTGAGGCCCACTGCCTCTCACAGAAGGCATTCAAAAGTGACATCTGGCCAATGGCAGCAAGTGGCATCACCCAGTGACATAATTTTGAGGCCTTTGAGGAACTTGAACACAGGATGGTCTTAGGGTCTGGGGAGATACGCCATTAGCTCTGAGGCTGGTGTCGGAAGGAAAAAGTGGGGTTTAGGGCACGGCCTTCTTCTGTTTTCCCTGACCAATCCTTGGTACCTCCAAACTGAGGGCTAGAGGACCCTCCCCCTTCGCACTAGGCCCTAGTGGTTGTGTAATTCCACAGGCTGCTGATGTTACATAAGCCGCCTGCACTACCCAAGTGTCTGCTCAGCCCCTCCCCTGTAATTCAGACCTAAAATTGGTGTATGTGTGTGTGTGTGTGTGCATGTGTACATGCATGTGTGTGTGTGCGCGTGTGTGCGCGTGTGGGGGGGCATGGGGAGGATACATTTTTATTCCATATAGTCCCTATGTCTGACCAAAACAAAAACAAAAATCAGAACACCCTGCTGCAGGGTTGCCATAGTAACTCCCAACCATAGAGGATGTATACTGATACCCAGAGTGGAATAATGAAGGGAGTGGAGAGGTGGTGTTGAAGGGGGTGAAAGATGACCCTCAAGTGGATGGTTTGGTCCAGCACTGACGGCATATACACAGGCATTGCCCTTCAAGGCTTACCCTGGCTCCCAAGCAGAGCTGACTCTCTTTCTCTCTACCTCTCCTCTCCTCTCCTCTCCTCTC